GTCGCCAGCCTTATTTTTTTGTGATTTCTTGATTCATCATAGCTATACAATGAATTCTCTAGATGCACGATTTTCTGTCTGTCACCAAGATTATCATGTTCAAAAAACATCATATGTGATTTTTTATAGAACCTAGCTAATGACATGGGAATGAGTCACTAATGACAAGTGAATAAATCACTGATGACGAGTAAATATGTCACTAATGACATGTGATCAGGTCACTAATGACAAGTGAACAAGTCAGTAATGATAAATGCATAAGTCACTGATGACAAGTGAATAAGTTACTAATGACAAGTGATTAAGTCACTAATGACAAGTGTCGTGTTCGCTAACGGTAATCAATCAAGAATTCAATGGAACAGATTGATAGTGGTAGTTGTACATTTTCAAGAACATGAATATCATCGTGACTATTAACTTGTTTCCTTTCCCCAAATAGTATACAAGTTTTTACTTGCCACTATTGAATATACACCTAGGGTGAGTGTATAAACTATACGGCTATATACATTTCAAGAGGTCGAACTCACGTTTTCATCCGTGGTATAAGAATTGACAGCGCGAAGGAATGGAAGAAGAGGTATCACTTAAAAGTTCTAGATTCTTTCCACAACTTTTCCTTACTACAACTCTGAACTCACGCCGAAAAACCCTGAATACATTTGGAACGAGATATCATCTCTATAAGCCCTTTATCGTGGATTACTTTTTATTTTTGCCTTCAGAAATATGGGATGAGGAGGGAATGGGAAAATAGTTCGATTTCTGTCAAGATCAATGATTTTCGAAACATCATCTTTCAACTCGGTTTTCCATTTCAATCTATAAAAACATATCAAACATAATATCATGTTAATTGCTTGAAACTGAAAATACTGTCGACACAATTTCAATATATACATACTTAAACATTATTATTGATGCTTCCTATAAAAAAGACCCATCAATATGGGTCATGATATATATATATATAAACATGCACCCCATGACAGCTACAGTGAGTACCTCAAAGGGATTGTGAGTGACATTCCCTGTAGGGAAATATTCCTTCGACATTAATTTAGCTCGAACACAAACTATCCAAGCAACATAACAATCCTGTTATTATGGTCGCGGTGTTTTTTATGTTCCAATTCCAAGTAGAAGTTTGCAGAAAAATGTGAGTTTGGAACTCTCAGCTCCTTTCTGTCGAAATCTGTTACCGATATCGATTGAAACAAAGAGGAGCATTAAAGTATTTTGATGGGTATTTTAACTACATGCTGTGGAAGTTGGGAATCCTATTTCATAAATACCATATATCTATCTTTATGAGGCAACTTTCCTACCCCGTTTGATGTACTTATAGTCTTCCCGCCGCATTGCCATCAAACTTATTCAGGCCCAGAAGCATATACATATAACTGAAGCATATTCCGCAATTCCGTTTGTTCACATCAGAAAGACTATTTTAATAACATTAAAATTCAAACTCCTATCATATAACAGTGATATTGAATTAAAAGTTGAACCATCACTTGCTGAATTATGGATAGTCCATGTTCTCGCTGCTGATTTCCTGCAGCAGAGAAAAGGGTGATTTTCCTCTCGCTGGAAATCGACCGAGTCTGAATAATATATCATTCATTCTGATTTACGATTCAATCTATAGTGCACGTGCAGTCAGGTCGATGGATCACAGATTTGTTCATATTGGTAATATCATCAGAGGGAGCTATCGTCATGCATTGTTTGTTGAAACAACTATATCTGAATGCATCAATATTCAATCATAGTTTGTTATCTCCTCTAGTATTTTCTTTGTATATATAATCATTTAGCGAGATTATACAGGGTGTCTCATAATTGACGTGCAATACTTCACCAGCAGATTTTACAATCAAGAATAAGAAAAAAAGTTCTTATAAACATAGGTCGATAAGCGAGCTACAACCACTTGAAGGTGGTACCCTGAAGATGATTTTGATTTTATATCTTTGGAACTGTTGATAGCAGAATTATGAAATTTTGCAAGTCTGCCAATCTTTTTATGTCTAATAATATGCAATATTGATAATTTCAAACCTCCATCTAGAAATGGGTGAAACTGTAGGGGGTGGGGGTTAAACCATCCCAACTTTTTCAAGTGCAGTTCTCCTGCAACTTCAGCATGAAATTATGAATCATCGAAGCCTTTTGCATGAAAAAGTTCGTCCTGTTTAACTTCGATAGGAAGCACCGTTCTCGAGTAAAATCAATTTGAAGATTACTTCACATGTCATAAAAATTCATAATGAAATTAGAAAAATTCAAAATTTGAAGAAGGCTATGCACAACCAGTATGATTGGGAAAAAACAATCAAGACAGGTGACATGAAAACTCATGAAATGAGTGACAGAGGCATTGTAAATTTATGTAATTTATGGAAAAATACTTATTGAGTTTATCTGAGCGACATTTTTTCCACACAAATAATTGTTCTTCAATTTATGGAAGAAATACTTACCAAATTTATTCATTAATCGATAACCCGATATATCGATAAAGATCGATAACTATCGATATATCAAACTTATCGATATATTTTGACTCATCGATACTCGATATGTGAAATCTGATATCACGCAGCCCTCATCTTGGAACTATATAGATTTTCTCACATCCTCTAACTATTTATAGTTGCGATTCGTATCAAATATGAACCGGTATGAATCGTCATCAATATGATCAGTTTTTCAGAGACGAATATCTTCTTGTACAATGCCGTGCACTTCTATTGAGATAAAAATGGGTCGATTCATTGTGAAATCAGTGAAATCGCAGGAAAACTAACGTCAAATTATTGTTCTTTATATACTTTCGAACCTCCATATGCAAAAAATCACCTGAGTTCGATGTAACAGGATTGGAGATTCATTTGTTTCATTATCTGCCTCGAAAAAAAAGATGATTCCGATTAACTGCGAATTTTGAAACGTTCAATAGCTCCGGTAGGTGAAAAACCATGATTTGAAAATAAACAAGATATTCTGTTTCCTGGAATGATCACAAAGAAGACACGTCCCTTTCTCATTTAAACCCTCAATAGAAATTATATGAAGATTCACATATTGAGGTTCGAAACCATGAGGAATAATATCATGAGGTCAGTTTTCCTATTAAAAATTCCAAATATGATTTGTAAGGGTGAAAAAACACAAAATCATCTTAACAACGTTTAATAATCAAGATATTGCTTAGGGAAACATGTTTCGGACAGTCATGTGTCCATCATCAGCCTTAATCCTTACAAACCAAAACTTTCGAACCTCCATATGCGAAAAATCACCTGAGTTCGATGTAACAGGATTGGATTCATTTGTTACATTATCTGCCTCGAAAAAATAGTGAATTCTGGTCGACTGCGAATTTTGAAACGTTCAATAGTTTTGAAACGTTCAATAGCTCCGGTAGGTAATAAAACATGATTTTGAAGAAACACCGAGATTCTTTATTGTGGAACGTTCGCAAAAATGCTGTATACAAGAGCCTGTTTTTTTCGACGCCCTCTATAAAACTATATGGAAATTCACGTATTATTGAGGTTTGAAACCATGAGGAATGGAATTATGAGGTCCAAACAACAAAATTATCAATGTATTCTAACTATTTTTCATATCTCCCATTCGTTGTATACTGGTGGATCTTGTATTTATAGATTGTCTCACTTCAAACACCCCCCTAGCTATTTATAGTTGTGCGATTCGTATCAAATTTGGACCGATATGAATAATCATTAATATGATCAGTGTTTCAAGGATGAATATCTTCTTGTGATGAAAATCGGTCGATTCATTATGAAATCATTAGATATAGGGCATTTTTTCGCATCAGGAAAACTAACGTCATATAATTGTTCTTTATATGCTTTCGAATCTCCATATGGAAAAAAATCACCTGATTCCGATATAACACACACAAAACAAAATTCTCTAACCAACAAAATCTGCCTCACTTCAAGCATATGGTTTGGTTATATATACTCAAATAAATATTTTCTCATTACGAGAAATTCATATTTATACAAAAAATACTGTCAGAATGCAGCAATATGTTTTGTGAGTATTAGAGAAGATTGGGGTATCTTCATATAAATAATTCAAATCTTCCATCATAGGATGAAATGATTATTTTCAACTTGAAGCTATCATATACTTACTCGGAAAAAACTATTTATCTGAGCCAATTATATAAAATTTTTGTTGATATACTTTGACAATATGGATCTGTTGCTTCAATAATACAGTTATTTCTGACTGATAAACACAGCTATAATTGGTTCAGTTGAATGACATACACTACCTGAGACTTTATAGCTGTCCAAGCGATCGCTGTTGGTGAGATGGACGATGAAGAAAATTTTGAATAGTGTATATTGAATCAAGATCACGGTGATGTTATACAAGTGGGATATTCATAGAATCAATAAATCTCAGAGAAATTCGAATGAAGAAAGCAGTAGATAATAATTATTGAATCAATATAATATTGAATTTAGATACAAGAATCAATATTTTTTCACAAGAGAATTCAAAAATTTCGAAATGGATTCGGAATCTGCATCGAAGAAATAGTGAATTCTGATTGACTGCGAATTTTGAATTGTTCAATAGCTCTTATATATAGGTAGAAAACCATGATTTGAAAGAATATCAAGACATTCTTCTTTGTGGAACGTTTGCAAAAAGACTGTATAGACGTGCCTGTTTTCTTGAATCCTAATAGAAATTATATGAAAATTAACATATCGACGTCTAAAACCATGTGGAATAATATAATGAGGTCAGTTTTCCTGTGAATTAAACCTAATGTGATTTTCTTTGAATATATCCTGCTTCATTTCGATAAAAACGCAGGGGTCGACACGCTGTATACACAGAACAACAACTTCCTGGAGAAGTTATCTCTGTACGAGTTGCATGCTCCAATAAATTCGTTCATGTAAATTCCTTGATGAAAATTCAATGAAACTCACGTTCAGTAATTTATCCTTATTGAACTCGTACACATCTCCGCGAAATCTTCATTGAAACAAAGCACGACACATGGCGATCGAACTTCTTCCGGTTTCGGACCAGTTTAGAGGCGTGAACGCATTTCCATAGAGCGGTTGAACTGGTTAGAGCAGATCGTTAGAGGCACCTTCAGCGATTGTGCTCTGTTGAATTTTACTCGCCTTTGCGGCAACGAATGGGTATTTATGCTAAGGCTCGAACTCTGTTCGGCTCCGTTCGGCTGCGATCGGAAAACATTGGAGTTGAGAGTTGGGGAGTTCTGCGCGAGAGTTTTTGCTGCGAACTCGCGAAGTTCTCGGTTGGTACATATCCTGGGGTCGCTATACGACATACGCTCGGGTTTTTTGCTGAAAGATAAACTTAGACAGTCATTGTTACAGATTCGCAATTGAATCAGAATGAATAGGAAATTGTTTCCACGAATCATGCAGAGAATTATTGACAACGAAACATATGCTAGGTATCTCATTCCACGTCCATTTTCAAAAACGATCACTCGTACACGTACCGTAATTAGATTGATTGAAGATGGACAATAGAAGACAATTTCATCATACCTGTTTCCTACATAACCTTAAAAAAAATACCAACTCACCGTATTGAAAAACTTCAACATAGACAGGAAGCACATACCAGAGACTTCCGATGTACTGATAATTTGTCAATCCCTCAGCACCGGACCGTTTTCTTTGAACGATCTTTCTGCTGCCATTCCGCCGTCCTGTACAATCCTTTTTGTCAAAACATAAAGAGTGTATGTTTTACAAATTTGAAACGTAAACTGAAGCAACATTTACTGGATGAACAGCGATATACTCATCAATTGGTGATCTGGCTCTATTTCATAGATATTTTCATAAACGATGCTCTTCTGAAATATCAACAATTGTTCCTTCCTTGGCAGTCCCTGCTAGATTAACCCGTTGAGTTAAGGCTTCGCACCCCTTCGTGGTCACTTTGGAGACCTGCAGAATATCTCTTTCCAAAGACTCATTCATCCAACGAACAGCGAGGCTCTGGAACACACATATAACCTCCAGAAATTCAAGAAGACCACCAATTCCTACCATATTTTCCTTGGTTCTCACGATGATCTCTGAACATTACAGGATATTCCTTTTCGTGGAAACCACCCAGCGAGCACAAAAACATCTCAGAGATGTTAAAAGTACGAGTTTTCGAGACATTGAACCTCCACTGCGATGTTCTGTTCACACATGAATAGAACTATTATAGAACAGCCAATGTCCGCCACAGGCGGCAATTATCGAGATGTCCTTGATATGTCACAAAAAACTACCTTCTCCCTAGTTCTTTTTGAAGCCTTTTCATGGACACAACAAAACATTTCAACGCGTCTTGCGCACATTGAATCGCTGTAAAAAAACCATTTTCGAGGTACTTTTCTGAAGCCTTTTGTCAAAATGAACTTTTGCATTAGGATTCCATTTCCCTTGAATGAAAAAATGCATTAGAAAGAGATTGAACATAAAAATATTTTCTTGATATGAAATTACCTTCTTAATCGGTTTCTGAGTAGTGCTTACTACACACAGACATATAATTGGAAATAGGTTTCCCAATTTTTGAAATGTTCTCCACAATGCATAATTTTGCAACTACGGAGAAGCTACAAACTAAATAAGTCTTCTAACACAATAAACATCACCAAATTCCTTTCTGTTCGTTAGTAGCGTGATGTAAGCGTGACACGTTGCGAACGCGAATGCCAATTGCGAACAAGAAGAACAAAATCGAAAACAAATCAAAATTCATCGTATTGTGACGTAAGCATGAGACGTTGTGTTGGGGCAAACAAAGAAAGGGCTCAAAAGAACAAAAACAATACTTTCAATATCCTTCTAAGACCTCTTTGGGAAGTGCATATTACGCCTAAAAAAAACATCCTCATGCCTACATTTCTAAAACATACCAAAACATCCCAGGGATGCCTCTCAGTAGGCAAACAAAGAAATGCCACAGAAGAACAAAAACAATACTTCAATATCCTCCAAAGACCTCTTTGGTCAGTGCATATATTACGTCTCAAAATAACATCTTCATGCCAATATTTTCAAAACATCCCAAAACATCCCAGGGATGTTTGTGCTCGCTGGGCAGACCATAAAAAAATAGCATACAATTTCAGACTAGGAACAACCCTATCATCCCATTTTGAAAATTCTACCAATATTGCACACAATCGCTTTGGCCACCATTAACAGAGCAGAGTGTCCTCTAATTATATCGATCAGTGAATCAGAGGGCATTGTCGGAAAACCGACAGCCATTCATTGACGAGGAATGTATACGGGCCTACCGAGATTAGGCTGATTTATGTTGCATATCTGTTCCAAGCACCATACATTAACGTCTCTGTTTTGCCGAGGCAGGTGGGCACAGTTGACTTGATCAATGGTACTTCCGTTCGCATCATATAATCATCAATCGAGCACACGAATTGTTTCTCGCCAATATTAGGTCCATTCCGGTTCCGATTTCAGTGATTTCAGAACTGTTCAAGAGTCGTTCTCGAATCATAGGACTGTTTCAGAACGGTTCACAAATTATGATGAAAACCCGAATGCGATGACCGACCCTGGAGGCAAAATATTGAAACACAACCTCACTCTTCTGTAAATTATTGAAACACAACCTCACTTTTTCATTTCTTTACAGAGGAATCAAAAGGTTGAAATAGTTTTTCACAATATTTTGGCATACGAATCGTTTCTTGCGTTATTCATTAATTCAAGCATGCCTTCGCATTGTGCTGTTGTACAATGCACAAAAAATGCAGCAAGAGACTAGGAAATATGATTTTTCAGGTAAATATTAATCTCACATTATTATCATTATGAAATGTTGTCATTCCTTATTAAAATTCCTTCTGCCTTCTGCCACTTCTGCAATACAAGCTAATACTGCTAATAGATTGAAAATGTCTACAACACACACGATCGTCATCATGTCAGACCAGTCCTCCCGATTGATTGCATGAATCCAAAATCTTCTTGCATTATTCTAGGAATTTCAGGTATATTTCTATCAGCTCTTATTGCAGAAGGAATTTCCGATGAGAAATCAGAGAAATAATCGAATTTCAAAAATGAAAACTATATGTGAGTGACTATAGTAGGTACTTACTTTTGAATCATAATGTACCATCCGGATTCCTTCATCTTCCGCTGCAGTTTTTGTGCATTTTGCAACAGCACAATGTGATGGCATGAGCGAATTGATGAATAGCGGAAAAATACGATTCATATGCCAAAATGATTGTGGAAAACTATTTCGATCACTTGTAAACAAATAAGAAAAGTGATGTTGTGTTTCAATGTTTTGCCTCCAGCGTCGGTCATCTGACAGTTCTTGCACGCAACTAATTTGCGAAAAAAAAAAGCATAATAATATTCTGCAGCTTCAAACTCTCCTTTGAGTCTATTCACAATATCTCTGGCAACCCTCTGTGGAGGAATTGGGAATATATTCCATCATAGCATTCGTAGCTAGATATTCAATATGTTCTGACCCTTGTACCTACATGAATTTCGATACACACCTGAAATGTTCAATTAATTGTGTATTTGAATATAATGGCAAAGTCTCCCCAACCATTAACATAATCCTCCATTTTTCGGTTTATCTAACGAAACTTTAAGAATTATCAGATTAGGTGAACTTCAGCAAGTAAATCGATCACCACTGCTTCCTGAAGATGAAAATCTTCTACTATCAATATACTTACTCCATAATATTGAGAAACAGTAGATTAAACAGAAATATATCATTATAACGTTACGCTACAATAGACAGAATCGAAGGGCCAAAAATAATCCTAGAACGGTTCATGCTCGAGGTACTGGTTTCGGATAGTTCTTGGACCGTCCCAGGACGATTCTGGAAAAACCCGAACGGGTAAAGAATCAGTCCTAGAACAGTTCCACAAAACCAGAACGCGACCGATTGTACTGCGCAAATTCCTGACAGTTCTAGAACCATAATAGTTCGAACATGAATAGACATATTACGTTCACAATGTCTTGAAAACAAAAGCAGATACGTTCAAGAAACGTGTAGAGCTGAGCTTCATTCCTATTATTCTCCAAACCTTATTCAATACAAATTGTCACTGACAAACTAGTGAATTTTTCTTTCAGGCTCTCTGATAGGATGATTCTTCAATCGCATCAGTGACATTTTGGGGCAAATCATCTGATTTGTCCTTATTATACAGGGTGTTTCAGTTTTTTGTAGCAGGACTTCAACAGCTTGAAGAAGACATTGTTTTTAAATGAAAATCTCGAACAAACATATATGCGCGGGAGCTTCGTTTCCGATTTACAGGGTGTAGAAGTTTCAGATTTTTTTTATGTTTTTTTAATTTTCTCCTATAATTTTCGGAATAATTAATTGAAATTTGGTACCTACACCTGATTGAGGCTATTGAGCGTTTTTGAATACCCAAAGGGTGATAGACTTTCAGGGGTCGTACCAAATTTAACCCTGTAGAACTTTTTTGCGTGCCGCCTCTGCTTTCAATGGAACAGATCCAGATTGTCTTTGTAATTTGAAAACTTTTTGCCCCCATGTATGTTTTTCGAAAACCGTATGGATTTCGAGATAAATACCAAGAATAAATTAGTTGTAATACACTTCATTTGACATTTAGTTATTGAAGTTTAATGATACGAACAAAATGAAAAAATTGACACAATAAATTTCGATAAAATATCTTACAGTAAATGCTCAAACCGGCGCTGAATTAAACGTCTCGCGTTATTTAAATGCTGAACTGTTATTTCATGACACGTATTTCTTATTCGATGGATGAGTTCTTCTCTTGTTTGATCCGGGGTTTGATAAACTCTCTCCTTTGAAAATCCCCGAACAAAGAAGTCTAAAGGGGTCAGGTCTGGCGATCATGGAGGCCACACCCAACCGGCCCCATCGGACCAATCCATCTGATTGGGTAATTATTATCTAGCCAGTTCCTCACATTTCTTCCAAAATGAGCTGGACAACCATCAAGTTGAAACCACACCCTTCTTCCCAAATCTAGTGGTATTTCTTCAAACATGTAGACAAATTCACATAGGGGCAAAAAGTTTCCGAATTGAAAGAACAATCTGAATCTATGTCCCATTGAAAGCAGAGATGGCACGCAA